ACGGAAGAGTAGTGGAGAAAATCAATTTAAGCCTTCACGGAAGAGTAGTGGAGCAAACCAATTTAAGCCTTCACGGAAGAGTAGTGAAGCAAATCAATCTAAGCCTTCATGGAAGAGTAGTGAAACAAATCAATCTAAGCCTTCAAGGAAGAGTAGTGAAGCAAATCAATCTTAAGCCTTCACGGAAGAGTAGTGAAGCAAATAAATCTAAGCCTTCACGGAACAATAATGAAGCAAATCAATCTAAGTCTTCACGGAAGAGTAGTAAAGCAAATCAATCTAAGCCTTCACGAAAGAGTAGTGAAGAAAATCAATCTTAAGCCTTCACGGAAGAGTAGTGAAGAAAATCAATCTTGAGTCTGATCTCCACGAAAGAGTAGTGGAACATATTTCTTCTTAGCCTTCACGGAAGAGTAGTGAAACAAATCAATCTTGAGTCTTATCTCCCTGAAAGAAGAGTAAAGTAGATTCGTCTTTCCTTGTATTTTATCTCCTTGAAAGAAGAGTGGAGCAGATTTGTCTTTCTTTAGATTCTATCTCCCTGAAAGAAGAGTGGATCAGACCCGTTTTCAAAGATTTCTCGAGTCTTATCTCCCTGAAAGAATAGTGGAACAAATTCGTCTTTCCTTGGATTCTATCTCCCTGAAAAAAGAGTGGAGCAGATCCGTTTTTGTTAGATTTTTCGAGTCTTATCTCCTTGAAAGAAGAGTGGAGCAGATTCGTCTTCCTTTGGATCTTATCTCCTTGAAAGAAGAGTGTAAAAGATCCATTTTCGTTAGATTTCTCGAGTCTTATCTCCCTAAAAGATGAGTGGAGCAGATTCGTCTTCCCTAGGATCTTATCTCCCTGAAAGAAGAGTGGAGCAAATCCGTTTTACAAAGATTTCTCGAGTCTTATCTCCTTGAAAGAATAGTGGAGCAGACTCGTCTTCCCTTGGATTCTATCTTACTTAAAGAATAGTGAAGTAGATTTCCCATCAAAACATGAAGTCAACTGGACAAAAACTTCTTGTCTTTTCATCTTGCCCTATTCTTGTTGACACAAGAATGAGCAAAGAGGGGCAGCTGTTGAGAGTGGTTTTTGTCCCAGTTGTTATATTATTATTATTATTATTATTATTAAATGATAATTTTATTACATGCCCAAAATAAAAACCTAGAAGCCTAATATAACAAAACCCGAAGCCCATTTATAAGCCTAGACAAATCCGACCTCAGAAGCCAGACCTAGTAAGGCCTGAACTTGGTTAGGGTTTCGCACTCAGCCTCAAACCACCAGCCTCTTCAGCCGTTGGATCTGTGAGAGATCCAGCAGCCCAGAATGATCCTAATGAAACCCTAGGGTTTCATCATAACCCTAAGGTTATGAGCTGCCACCGCTTTAGCCTGAAGATAAGCTAGTGCAGCCTCCAGCGCCAGATGTTCCACTCCGATACTGCCACGCAGTCGTCGTACCACCGACCTTATCCGAAGATCTGGGTACATTGAATGCACCCAGCTAGTCGTAGTTGCCCCTATGGTGAGCCACCACCATAGCTCTGATGACTCACCAGGCTTTATCCATTCGACCGGCCCGAACAACGCACCTCGAGCCCTATAAAAGGGACTCAACTCATCTGTAAGGAAAAAAAGACGACATCAGTAGGGAGCGAACAGAAACATAGAGGAAAAAATAGAAATACCGGCAACCACACAAACAAATATTCGATGGGAAAAATAAAAGGAAAATAGAGAGAGGAGAAGCTTACCCACGGTAGTAGGAGTTATCCAAACGTTGTTGGAAAGTCATCTACTCGAAGGTATCTATTTATATCTAGGTCGATTGACAACTTTTTAGGGAACTGGGAGGCTGGGTTCAGGTTTAGGGAAGTATAGAGGTTATTTTGGGGTATTTTCTCGGCCGCCGGCCAGAATCATTGGCGGACAGTGGCTCGTGGTGACCGGCTTCCCTCCGACGAGGGAATTTAGAGAGAGAAGCATAAATGAGAAAATGAAAGCTTTAGACCATTTAGGGTCGATTTTGGCCTATTTATATCCCTCCCCAAACGATATCATTTTGGGAAGGGATTATCTGTGTATTTAGTGCGTGGGTAAATCATTCTCATGGTCCCTATACTATGTAAACTTTACAATTTAGTCACTGGAAATTGACATACATATATTTTAATTTGGCTTTTGAATTTTTTTTATTTCTATTTTAGTCACTAATCGTGTTTATATATATTTTGTGGTAAATATCAAATTTAGTCCTTTAATTTTAATAATTTATATTTTAATCCCGAATAGTAATTATGGTTAAATTATTATTCTAGTACCTCTATTTCATGATATTTATGTTTAGGGCTATTACTTTAGAGACTTTATAATTTAATCCCCGAATTTAATTTTAAATAATATTTTGATTTATTTACAATTGTAGTACCTAATATATTAAGTATTTACAATATTGTATTGATCTTTTATAGTTTGATAATTTAATCACTAAATTTATTATATTTATTAATTTAATCCTTTAGTCATATATTTATTTTATTATATATAAATTTAGGGAAATATTATTTTTTATAAGTAATCCATAAAAATATCTCCTTAATTGCATAGGAAGATATTTTCAAAGATTATTTCTATAAAATATTATCCCTTTTATTTTTCTAAAAAAATTATATCATATTTTAAATATTATTCGAATTTGTCAATTTCAATAAATTAGATGACGTATAATTATGTAAGTACCAATTTTTGGGCATTGTGGGGGTGCTAATCATTCCCCAAACGTAACCGACTCCCGAACCCGTTTTCAAATTGAATTTCTGGTCAAACGCAGATCGATTTTTTTATCTTTTAAAATTATTTTTCTTAAAATTATTTTAAAATATATTTTTAGGTATTCGGTTTACCTAACCCAAAATTCGATTGCGACTCCAATTTTGTCTATTTTAAAACTCAACATGTCCCAATATTAAGTAGGATCGATTTCTGAAAAAGCCTTAAAAAACCGGCGGGGACCGTTTCGACATTGACTTTTAAGCCCTCTTTCATTAAAAAAAATTGTAGTCTCCTGTGGGGGCAGCCTACTATCCTACCTCCCCCTTACTCTATTACATATGAGAATAAGGTCAGCTAATTTTTAGCTCATAGATCAAAGGATCTTAAATCGAAAATAGTTTAAAATGGGATTTTTTAAATTTAATAAATCAACTTAAATATATATATATATATATATATATATATATATATATATATATATGTGTGTGTGTGTGTGTGTGTGGAAGTCTAACCCTAACTAGAGTCTATATAAATATAAAAGTTTTGATTTTATTTTGTTGATCATGTTATTTTAGTAGAAAAAAGGAAATCAAAACGAAAGTCCTCTAGGCAAATTGGAATAGGCTTTCATTAGCGAAATTAAAACAAATGGGATATTGGTAAGAAGAAGCGAGAGGGAGACAGACCGAGAGGTCCACACGGTTGGTTTAGCGCAGATTGACTCTTGATATTATGCCCTTTTTAACGTAAGCGCTTACGCAGCACCCTCATCTGCTTGCCCAACTTTACTTTGCCCACTGCCTCCTCTTTTCTGCCTTTTCCCCATTTAAAGAGCCACCGCTGTTTCTACTCCCCAATTTAATCTCCTATTTTTCCTAACATATAATGGATGTAGTCAATCATTTATAATCAAACTCCATCATTTCTAGCAATATTTTGTTGAGTTTTCAAATTATTTGAGTTACAAATTTCATATATGATTATTTGTATGTTTTAAATTTATTATTTTTTGTTAAAAAATTGATAGTCGTCTGACCTAAACGTTAATATGTTGACTGAGATATGATAAAAATTATATTTTTATTAATATCTATTAACATTGATGTTGCTTTCAAGCATTGACTCAACGTCATAATGATTCAAGCACTGATACGATGATATAATATAAACAGAGAGTCGATCTATAAAATACAACTCAAATAATCTTGTGATAAAATTTTATCATATCCTAGCCAGTAGGTTCACGTCTATCTTAGATGACCGATAATTTTTTAATGAAAAAAGATGAATTACAACATATAAATACTCATGTGAGCATTTTATAATTTTAATAATCAGATAATTATTTTATAATTTTAATAGTTTAATGACTTAGTAAAATATCATCCTATAGTCGAAGGATTATTTGTGTATTTTATTGTTATAGTTTTAGATTTTCCATATTAATTGGTTGATGCTATGAAGACTATAGGCAAGTTTGGCGCAACTTTTGAAAATTGTCTTTTAAGAGTGATGTAGAAACAAAATTTTAAAAATGCAGTTTAAAATTTAACTGTTCGAGATTATTGTTAAAAAATTAATTTGAATAAATAAAATATCTATTATAGACACACATTAAATTATAATTGAGTAAGCTCATGCATCAGTAAAGCTAAAATTATAATTTATTTCCAAACGTAAAGTTAAAACTTAAAAAATTAGAAATCATAGCTTTTGCAGTTAATTTAAAACTACAGTTTCCATCATAATATTTTTTACTCATTTGACATTGATTTTACGATCGAAACATATTTTTTTTACCGAAAATGTTTTTAAAAAACCACGCCAAACGGGATGTACGAAGTATGAAGTAGATTTGGTATCCCTCCAGTCTGACTATGATTAAGGGTGTAAACGAGCCGAGTCGAGCATTGCTGAACTTGACTCAAACTCGAAAACTTTAAACATAAGCTCAACTCGATTCGAAAACTCAAAATCTAAAAATTATTAGCTCAACTCGAACTCAAAACAATTTTGAAAGCTCGATTGAAGCTCGAGACTCGAGCTCGATTTGAAGCTCGAGACTCGAGCTCGATTTGAAGCTCGGTTTTGAGCTCGATTCAAGCTCGAGAACAGGTTAATTTTCATTCGCTGAAACTCATCCCCTTTTATACACTTACTTTACCCCTTATTCCCCAAGAACCACCGATGTGAGATATCAACTCACATGACCAACTCAAGTTCAACGCTTTGAAGCATATGAAGGAAAGGCATTTTATCTTTCAAGCTAAATATCGTATACTGTGGTCTGTGCATCTTTTTCTTCCTCCTCTTCTTCTCTCCCGAAACTCAACAGCTCTGAGTTAATAAATCCTGGTTCCAACCATTCCACTTCCAATTGAGTTTGGAATTCTTGCGGAAGATAAGAGTTTACGTTTCACCTCTTTAGTTGGCTTTGAAAGGAAAATATAGATAAAGTACAGAGAGGAGAGTTCAGGTAAAATCCTGTCGATAAAAAATCCAGAAATTTATTCATCACTAAATTCTCGTTTGCTTGCTTTCATGTTTAAGGTTTTGTTTTCATCTTTTTATAGATTTCAATTTGAACTCTTAGCTTCCTGATTTTACACAATGGACCGGGAGCGCGGCATTATCGATACCTGTAAAATGAGATTAATGGATCATGTGTACTCAAAAAACAAAGAGATTAATGGATCTTTCCACTTTCATGCTCTGTTAGGAAGCAGAAATAATTCTTATATCACATCATACTGCTATGATCTTACTGGTTTAGCAGTAACTGTTTTATTCTTTGCGCAGAGAGTGTCCTGCAGAGTTACTGCAACTAGAAAGGCAATATTATGGGCATTGAAGATTCTGATATTAGGACTTTTTTATAAGGTGGCTCTTCATTTCTTTAACCCTGTACAACATATCATGGCTGATGGATATATGTATGGATTTTCTTACAACACTTATATGGCAGACCTCTAACATTAAATGATTATGCTGTGTGTTTGAGTAATCTATTGATAAATGTATCACATGGGTAATTTATTTTTCTAATTTCGTATACAATTGTCTCATAATATGTAATTTCTAATCACTAACAGGAGGCTTCTTCCATGGCATCAAGAATTTAACATATGGGGTGGATATTGATTGAATGAGATTGATGGGCATACTGCAGGTGTTCTTTCTAACAAGTTAACTCCATATTTATTTTATGAATGGTTGAATAATGAATGGTGTTCTATGGTTGCTTCTTGGTTTCTCCTTAATGTACAATGAGCTAAGCAAATTAACTGTTATAAGTTGGCTATTCAGGTGCTTTATGACAACATTAGTCCATTATTTCTCAAACTTCTTAGCAAGTTTGAGGTGGAAATGATTTAGGAATGAAAAAGACTGAGATGTGCACTTATAAGTAGTGAGCATGTATGTTCTTCTATCAGTTTGAGGTGGAAATGTTTTAAGAATGAAAAAGACTGAGTATTGTGTAAGTATAAATGTTAGGGAATATACTAACATTTGATATTGTACGTGTCTTTAATGGATGCTTGAGTAGATCGAAATCAAGCTCCAGACTCAAGCAAAACGAAAGGCAAAGGCAAAGTAGTTGAGTAATCAGATTTGCGTTTTGGGATATAATAGTGAGGTAAGACAGGTGAGTGCATTTATTATGTATTTATATGTTGTGATAGTCATAGATGCATGTTGCTTAATGTATGTATGGTGATTATCGAATAACACTATATGTGCAAACTAAGAAATTCATAATAAGTTTATGAATTTCCGTATGGACACTGTGTGTGCAAAACTAAGAAATTCATAATAAGTTTATGAATTTCCTTATGGGCACTATGTGCAAAACTAAGAAATTCATAACAAGTTTATGAATTTCCGTATGGGCACTGTGTGTGTAAAACTAAGAAATTCATAATGAGATTATGAATTTCCTTATTGACATTAGGTGTGCATCCCCACGTAATTCTTAATGAGGTGGTGAATTATTGTATTGGCACTACGGGTGCAAACTAAATAATTTATAATGAAATTAAATAGTTAATTGATATTATGAATAATTATTATAGTAAGAACTGCTCTAAAATAAAAGAATATATGCCTAACTGTGCATTTGGCAGAAAGGTGCTGATAATGCAAGTTAAATGGAAGGTTAAATGCCTTTGGATGAAAGAATAATGCAAGTTAGATGAATAACGGTGCATTACTGGCATGAAAGGATGTACTAAATAAAATGCCTAACGGTGTATTATCGGCATGAAAGGATGCCATAAATGAAAAGAATTAATAATTACTAAAGAATAATGGGTGGAAATGTACAGAAAGATGGGTATGGAGGACATAATAAGAATCATTACGATGATTGTACGGAAGAAATTTGGTTTAAATGATAGGGATTTATTTGATCCTTATAGAGTATATAATTTAGTTCGAACCATGCTATATTTATGTATATACTAACGTTTTTTTATAATATTATGTCTCACTAAGTAAATACTTAACGTGTGTTGATTTCACACGTAGGTAAAAGCAAAGACTAGCCGAGTAAGGAGTGCAACAGTAGCAGTAGCTATCATCAATCTAAGTTGACTCTCATCAGTAACAATAGGACAATCATGTTTATTTTGAAAATTGTTGGCATGTAGTCAAAATCAAGAAAAATGCTTTGGAATGTATTTAAAACGATAGCTTCGGTAATATGTTTCAACGACTGTTTTATTGTTGTACTAAAATGTTTTGGTTTTAAATTTCGAAACAAAATTTCATCGGTTTTACAAATGGGTAAATGTTTTTAAAAGTCATGTGACACCTATGACTTGTCTACGGAAACATATACTGGAAATGGGTGTTGTATCGCGAACAACTCGAAAATATAATATATTAAGGTTATTAATAATATTAACATTTATATGTTGATTTTTTTATATGCAGTATAGGATTTTCATGCATTTAAGGTTCAGGTTCGAGTTAGAGCTTTAATCGAGTTAAGTTTAAGATTTTTTTTCTCATTTTGAGCTTTTACAAGCTTCAATTCATGGTTTCAAGTTCGAGTTGAGTTTAAAAATTTTAAGATCGCGAGTTTTCGAGCCGAGTAGAGCTCCATTTTAGAGTTTTCAAGTGGAATCAAACTCAAAAATAATCGAGCTCAACTCGACTCATTTCCAGCTCTAACCCGAATTCAAGATCATAAATATGATGAGTTGATCTTCTCACAAGGTCCAATACTTAGATCAAAATCAAAATAATAAGTCTATGCCATATTGGTACAAGGCTTTGTGAATAATAAGTCCATACCATATATGGAGGATAAAGAATATCAAGAAATCCAATAATGGCCCAATTGGATCCAAGGTAAAAATTTGAATATCCAAGACAATAAACCGTGCAAGAACTCATATTTTGGATTACATTTACAAGCCTAGAGGATTCAAATGCTGACGTAAATAGACCACATATTCAATCTATAAAGGCTAGTCCATTGATATCCATGGAGTCCTTTTAAAATGATTTAAGCCCGCATAAAATTCGACCCAATAGTTAATCCACTTGTCACAGCCGCATTTATCTTGATCCAAATAACAGAATTATAAGTTTATTTTATTTTTTACGTGTTTTAAATAATTAAGGGTCAAGATAAAGGGTAAAATTGGGCCAATAATTCAAGTAGATTATTTATTTGGTCCAATAGATTAACTTAAATTTTATTTTAAGAAATACGACATTTATTGCCGTGTGAGTTTGCTCATATATTATTTTTTAATTGACCTAGGTATGTGAGTCATGTGAAGTCTATTTAATATATTTCTTGCAACTCATCATATATATGTATATATATTAAAAAATCATATGACTTGACATGCCTACATGGCGAGTTCCATTAGGATTTAAAAGTAACCATTAAGTGAACGTTGGGCAACAAACAAATTTTTTTAAATCCAATTGAAGCTTGCCATATGGGCATGATGAGTCCCATGATATTTTTAAAAAATTTATTTATTTAAAAATTAATATTAAATTTGAAAATTTTAATAATTTTATTTATTTTACAAATAATTTATTACAAACTAATAACTAAAAAAGCTCAAATAATAATAAAATTTACTTATATTTTCTTAATTATTGATGATACCGAGAAATTGTTGAATGATAATGACGTGGGTCTCGTTGATTTCTCTGTGGTCGTCCACCTTCACCTTCATCATCTTCTTCAATATTCACTTATTGTTGAACTGGTGTAGTGTTCGTTAGTCCACCACTTTAATTTGCACCTTCAGGTGATAATGATGAAATATTTAAAATACTTGACGCCATCATTAACGTCACAGACTCAAAATGTACACTAAAATTACTAGATGGTTAAGCATATAGAAACTAGTCCCATAGGCCCGCATCATCTCTCGAAGGTGATTGAGAGGGTGACATTACATTTTATTCCCGCAGACTCTCCATTGTATATATTTTTTAAAATTTTATTTAAAAAATAAAAAATAATACTAAAAAAAAAAGTAGTAATTAAACAAAAAATAGTAATTCTCCCTCCCTCCCGAATAGTCACTCTCTTCCCACACTTGCATCATCCCCTTTTTTTTCAAACCACAACAAATTGCAATAATTACCAGTTGTCAAAACCACACTAGATTGCATCCACTTTTGACTGTCAATAGCAGACTGTAGGTAGCCAAACGGTAGGCTAGCCAAAGGCATTCTGGGGATTTAAATTTTTGGAATTTAAGTTTAAAATTTTAAGAGATAGAAAAAATATCGGTTATTAGGGTGGTTGTTCGTCGACGGTGGTGTCATAACCCTAATTTAAGATAAAAAATAAATTAAAAATTAATTTAAGTAAATTATGGATCAAATTCCAAGATTTTAGAACTTGTATCATGTTTTAGCATTTGTGGGAAGTTCAGGGACTTAACCTTAAATTTCCTTATTTTTATGGTCAGTGGAAAAATAAAAAAATAGAGTTAGTGATGCGGGGTGTCGAACCCATGTCCCCCAGTAAGGTCACCTATGCCCTAGCCATTTAAGCTAAGGTACTGTTGGTGATATTTTTTATTAAATATATAATATATAGGTTAAAGCCCTAGTATTACCCCAAAAACCCCAAATCGAAAACCCCCAAATCCCTAGTTACTCGTTACTCCCTTCACTGAATATGTCGTTGTCCAACCATCGTTCAGCTCATCGTCGTCACCACTGTGCTCGCCATCGACTGGCGACCAAAACCCTTGTTTTCCCTCACCTGAATTGGCCACCACTCGTCGTGAAAAAGCCGAATAAACTTCGCCAGAAAAACTCCTCATCACACTCAGATTTTCCTTGATTCGGATCGATCTGACGACCGTTCCATCTCACCACAGTCTCTATTAGCTTTGTTGGCGTCGTGCGAACAAAACTTAGCCATTTTTGTTCATCGTCGACGCGTTGCCGTTGATCGCCATTGAGGTAAGTATCGAACGTGTTTTCGAAGACTTTAGTTTGTTTTCCAGCTTGTTGATGATTGATATGGGTTGATTTTACTGCGCGTGGGACTCTTTTGTCGGTCCAGGAGTCTTTTGGAACCGATCCAGCCAGACCGAACCAGTCCAATCAGACCGAATCGGGTTGAGCTGAGTCAACTCAATTGAGTTAACTCGAACATAGTCAACTCGTCGACTTCGACTGACCGTTGATTTTGACTTTAACCAACATTGTGTTTGACCAAAAAGTTAACTTTTCTGAAAAGTCATATTTTATTTTTTTCGACGTCCTGAGTACGAATCCGAAGTCCGTTTTGCCAAATTCGAACTTGGCAAGCTATTTTTCAGCATTTTATCTCTCGATTGAATACAAATTTTCACGTTTAACTTCTGTTTCTAATGTAATTGGTTTTGCCATGTATCTGAGACATTATGGGACATGGAATTAAAGTTCGAGAAAGATCAAATGTAGTTTTATTGGTTAACCGATGTGGCTCATAAATCAAGATAATACTCTACTACCTTTTGTATGCTTTTCGGAACTCTTTGATAATTGGTAAATGCATGAATGAAAATGATTCAGTTAGGTGCATTTAATTATCATTGGACTCAAACTGAATATGGAATAAATGCAGAACACTATATAAGACTCAGACGACTCACAAAAGAAATTGGTAAACCGACCAGAAATAATTCTAAGTTTAGTGATTAGTTAGTAAATAAATTGACCTCAGGATCCAAAATTCTAAATAATTTCTTTAAATGTTAAATGTCGGGAATACTTGGTTAAGAAATTACAAAAATAGCTCTATGAAGTAAAAGTACAAAAATACCCTTGTACTATAAAAAGACTAAGATTACCCCTGAAGATGAAAAATGATCCAGAAAAGACATATTTGATCGAATTACCAGAAAATTGCATATGTTTGGATTGAAAATAATTATCGAAATGCTATCGAGTTACGAAATAACTAAATAACCTCTGATATTCAAATAAATGAAATACTCCTGAACCCTAAAAGGATTAGAATACCTTAAACTCTAATATGATCGAAGTAACCTCGAGTGTTGAAGTGACCTAACTATCCTAACAACTTGGAATAAGTGAATTTATTTGGATAAATTGTAGAAACACCAATAAACTTAAATGTTATATCATTCCTAAAGGTTATAGATAATAACGCAAGAATGCTGAGCATTCTTAATACTGATACATTACATAAATATATAATACCATCAAATACCTGATTGTCTCCTCTAGTTTCGTTTAGTGTTGATTCTGAAAGTGACTGGTTCAACCAGTGTATTCAATATTAAGAAATGATTTGTCGTGAAGTATATCAATCCAGATTATTGACAAGTTTTTCAAGGTGGAGATCGGTTAATACTATTTAACTCGAAATCATGATAATTTGATATAAATTTAGAATGTGCAAACTATTGTTTCACCCTTATTGGATTAAGTTACTAAGAATCCATCAAAAATTAAATTTTTTGAAATAACCCTATTTCCTTAAAAATGGAAATACTCATGTTATATCTAGATCTTTAATAATTCTGTTGTAAAGGTTTCTGAGTACCTTTTTAATACACTCGAATCTTAAATGATTTTTGAAACATGAAATTCTAAATGTTGATTAGATCTGATAATGAACGAACCTTTTTATAGGGACCTCGATTCTAAATTCCATCCAATCTACAAAAGTTATACGTTTTTCCTTCCTGATAACGATTAATTGCCTCTGAAAAATAACTGAATCTGCTATTGTGTTCCCTATATGCTACCTGACCATTTTATTCGTATGGAGATTATAAATGGATACCTGGTTGATTTACAATTGTTTTTACTGATTGATATAATGGTTTATTGGTTACTTGTTTTTACTGGAAAAATAAAACATGTCTGAATTATGGATAATGGAACTACTGGATACTACTTGAACTGGTTTATTGGGACACTATATTTGTAGGCTGGAGTATGGAGGTTCAGCTTGGATCAAGTTGGTAATTCCTTACGGACATAAGGTGACATTTGATAGGCCCCAAGACATTCCCTTAGGTTGGCTCCTAGGTCAATTGGGCCTAGGGCAAGTCCTTA